TCCAGAGAACGCCGCGGGGAAGGCGCACACGCGCAGCCTCTCCCACGGGCCCCTGGCCGCGACCGAAGACGATGCAAGACAGGCATCTCCACTCCCACGAGCCATCGACTGATATGAACCTACAGGTGGATCGACGGAGCCATCGGGGCCCGAAGCCCTCGTTGATGCTCGCGCACCCCACGCTGAGCCCCGCCAGCCCGCTCAACGGCGGGGGCGAGAGTATCCGCGGCAGCCATACTCCTGCATCTAATCATCGAGATGTTCACCCACGGCGAGCGCAGCCGAAACATACTGACCTCATCATCATGAATGCATGCAATTAGTGGGCTGCTCAAGGTCATGGTACGCCAGGTCGGCCCCATAGACTAAGACTGATTTTTCGACGCCTTTGACGCCAACTACAAGTCCACAGATGCATCAAGATCTGCACTGCCCCCCGATATTTCCCAGCAAACTCCAGTGCGGCCCGAACGATTTAAGGCCGATATTGGAGCACCCACGGCCCCTCGAATGGAACAGCCGAAACAAAGACCGGAGCAGCCGCGCCCTCTGCCAGAACGCAATGAAGGCTTACCGCCGCGCCGCAGCGCGAGCCCAACCGAAATCCCGAAGTATAACGTGCGAGTCCCAAGTTTCACAGGGTGCAACCGAACCCCTTTCTTCCTCGCGCGCTCCGAGGCGCTCGCACGACAACACCCCGCAAGCAAGCGCGCAAAATTCGCCGATGTTCAGCTAGAGACCGACGACAGAGAATGGGATGTCCAGCAAAAACAGAAAAAGGTATCATATATTCCGGGATATTCTGCAGACCGAAGCAATAAACATCAGCACGCGCCAGCTCCAGATCCAGCCGAGATGCGCGCTCGTAGTTGATCCATCCGAAAACTGGGTCTAATGCAAGAGAGACAAGAGCCATCGATGGCGGATCCCCCTGCCCCGCGCCTCGCACGACGGGGGATCCGACCTCCGCTGCCCCAGCGAAATTGACCACTGCTATGTTATTCACATGAAGATATAGGAACCAAGAACAGCCTACGGGGCACCCATGGCCATGAGAGCCCGGAAAAACCACGCCGAAGGAATCGATGGGAAACCGCCCGAAAATCCGCGAATACGAGACGGGCTCCATCAAATATCACCATATGATGCAAAAGCCCCCCCCTGTCCATCTCAACCACGCGCTCCAGGACACCGCGGCCCTCGACGCCCCCGCGCAGCTGCTCCGCGACCGCCCCCGGGGCCACCCCACTCAGACCACCGCATGCCGGTCCAGAGAGAATCTCAGCGCCCGCGTTGAGAAATAACAGTGGGCGGGCAATTAGGACCAGGCGGCCTCGAAAAGCGAACACCCCGATCAGCCGGCCCCCCCCCGCCCGGCAGGAAAGCCACCCCGCTGCCCCCGCGGCCCCCGGGAAGAGCAACACTTTCGCTATCGCAAGCCGCATCGTCAACGTCAAACAGAACGTCGGCAGCTCCAAGAAACGCCCAGCGTCCATCCTTGATGCAGTCGGGGCCAGGGGCGGAGCGCCGCTTGAATCTCAGTCGTTTTTCCAACTCTGGCCCAGACACCACATCGGTTTGCGGGGTAGCTGGCCAATCGGTTGAACGCGGGAAGGGATCACAGGCAAGCGCCGTTCATTGCGGGGGGGATGGGTGAATGCTCTTCCCCCGCGGGTGGCCAGCGCACGGGCCGCGCCGCGGGGGTTCGAGCGGCGGGCGCCGCTCTCGCCCAGCACCCTTCAGTCCAGCGCGACGCCTCGTCGGCGACCAACATCTTTGAGGATCTAGGAACGCTTTTCCTCCCTGCCCATCACCTCCTCAGCCCCCCTCACAAGACCTCAGGCACTTCGAGCTTTAAGACAACAATCAGCGAATACAATGACCCCCCCAAAAAAAGACGCGCGAATGACTGGGCGCCACTGCTGCCCCCCCCCCCCCCGACCTCGGAACGCCATGAAAGCGAAATGGAGAAATTCAGGCGCTCAGCATCGCTCGATGCCTGCGGGGTCTTGAGAGACTACCGAGAGTCGGTCGCCACTGCGCCCCGAAAAGCCGACACGTTCCGAATGCGCTACGGCAAGGACTCTGGAAGCGCGAGCAAACTCGGCTGTTCCGAAGCCATCCTCCTAAACAAAGCATGCTGGATATTCCACTTCGGGGCAGACAGGGGGGGGGGCCAGGCTCGGGGCGGGCGAAAGTCACGGCGACGGGGGCGCGGTCCGATGGCACCACTCTGTCGGTCAGGGCCCCAACAGCACAAGCAGTGACATCCAGATCGCCGGCGATTCCAACGGGTAGAACGGCCTGAACCTCGCCCGCATAGCCGGCGCCGCGCCGCCGCGCGGGGCCAGGCTGAAAACACCCACACCAGGAGCTACAGCGGCCATGGAAGGCGCGTCGCTGCGACCGATCCCCAAGGCCAAACTCCCCTCCTGCTAGAAACCCCCCATCCTCCACAGGAACGCAACTCCAGCCGACTGCCACGAGTGCCACACTCTGGGCCTGCGAGGGGTAGCCTTTCCATGAATTTCTTCCGATTATATGATCATATGGATACATGTTGACGCGATGATCAATGCGTCGGGCATCTGAACACCCACAGTCGCGAGATCCCTAACATGCCCCGAGCAACGCAGATGGAAGACCCCCGCTTCCACCACCTCGATGGGAACCACATGCGGGAACGAACCAGCAAGAGCATCCGGGACGAATGTGGCCACCCAACTGGCCGCCCCCTCCCCCATGCAACTGCAACGCAACGTGCCCGCGCGCATCTCGTCAGCTACCATGGCCAAGTCGGTCCTGGAACCATGGTTTTCCTGTAAACATGCCATCTGATACCGCTCCAACAACCTCTTCGCCCACTGGAACCTTGAACTCGCTCTGAAAGAAAGGGATGGGATGGATGCAAAGAGAGCGCGGTGTTCCACGCGCAGGGCGCGAGCGGGGTAAAAGGGCGATTTACTCAACCAGCAACCCCAGCCAGCGGAGGAACAAATTAACGCTGCGCCACTTGCATTACAACGAGCGCTGCTCTCAGGATACGGGCGCCCAGCTGCGCTCGCAGATGCCGATGCCTCAGAACTACCCCCGTCAAGCCCCCTGTCTTCCAGACTGCTGCTGCACTCGCGTAACGGGACGGATTTACGAGAAACGAACCTGCAGGCATGGCACATGCGCCACCACTGCAACAGAAAGATCACCCCTAGTCACATAAGCCATTCCCCCAAGCAACGTGGACCCAATACGTTCCTGGCCGAAGATCTGTGCCACTGCTTGCCTCGCGTTCCCGAAATACTAAAGCAACTTGCGAGACGTCTGCGGGAGGTCCCGGCGGACCCGAAACTCGAGGCCCATTCCACCCTGAAGGCACAGACAAGCAATCGGCCCCTCCGACATACACTTCGCGCGACATGTGGAGGCCCTCTGAATGTTCGGGTGATCAAACAAACAACTTCTTACTGCAGTTGAACGCCTCATTCTGGATAGAAAGGGCCGTCACTAAACATTCACGATCGCGCTGCAGCCTTGCAAGAAAATGTTTCGAAGCGGTCGTCGGACTCCCAGGGCCACAAGACAAATCGGGGTGCCACCGCCTCTTAGCTCGACCCGCGGACGAACCTAACGAGCGCATTGGTCACCATCATCAGGCGTTGCTGTGCCACCAATAACGGCTGCTGCGCCTCCAATCTGACGATCCCTCAACGCTGCTAGCTCCTCCTTCATCGTGGTAGTGACCCCCTCTCGCCTCCTCACTCGTTTCATTCTCAGCAATCTTGCAAACCTGAATGGCCTGGAGAACGGCCTGCTCTTAGATGGAAAAAATATGTGCGAAATTGCCCATCGACTGCTTCGCGAGATCTGCAGGCACTGCCTGCAACCTCTGGACCTTTCTTCCCGTTTGCAACAGATGACCTTGGATACCTGAAAATATGGTGATTCACCTCCTTTCTACTCCGATCCAACTGCTGGGTGAGAGAATCAAAACTGCACGAGAAGACGATGAATAGGTTTGGTGTCCGTCGTGCTTGAACCTGGGGACCGTGGGCTATCGGAGCGGCCCCCGCTAACCTCGCTCCCTACAGGGGAAGTCGGAGCAGGAATCCTGCAAGGCCACGGCCTGGCCTGGCGCAGAGCTTCCGTGGCGGAAAGGGGACAGGGACTGCATGGCCGAGGAGAACGGCCGCCGAAGGCCAGAGGGCGCGGCCGCGCCCGCGCGTGCCTGGCCACCAGGCGTTTCTAGAGGGGGTGGGAAGTTAAGGAGCATGAGGCAAAATGGCTACAAGAGGAGGAGGAGGAGGAGGAGGAGGAGGAGGAGGAGGAGGAGGAGGAGGAGGAGAAGGAGGACTGACGAGCTGAAGCAGCAGGACGGTGGGTGGTATAGGAGTACGAGGGCTGGCCGGCGCAGGAGAAGAGGAGGACGACGAAAGCGAGGGAGGGACCAGAGAGAGAGGACGAGGAGAAGGAGGAAGCAGGCACGCAGGATGGAGGAGGGAGAGTGGCTGCAGGATGATGTGGGCGATGACCCAGCAGACATCGGCCGTCTCAGTTGTTTCGAGGCACGGGCTCCTGGCCGCTCGACCACGTCCCCAGGAAGAGCTCTCCGTCCCGGGGTCGTTTTGTTGACGGCCCCGAGGCCCAGGGAGGGCCCCGAGAGGCCGAGAGCTAATCACAAAGAACCTCCGTCTCGATGTTTTCAAGCTGCAGGTTGTCTCGGGAGGCAGGTGGAGGAGACGGGGCTTTTTCCGGTCCTGTATTGAAATTTGCACTGGAGAGCGGATCCTGGTGTATTCGGGACCCTTTTGTATACATTCTTTGTTGTTTCCCCAGGACATCGGGGACAAAGTATACACCACACCACCCCAGCGTCGTCCCCGACCCTCAAGAAGTCCTGGGAGTGAAAAGCAACCCGCCACTGGTAATGCATGTGCTCCAGCTTCCGAGCAGAGGCCACGGCCGAGCACAGCCGCAGCGGGGCGAGGCGGGAGCGCGGCCGCGTCCTGGACGCGGAGCTCCTCCCTCGCGGGGCTGCTGCCGCCGCTCGCGCTCCTCGGGACCGCCCGCATGCTCTGGAACTGCAGACTCGCCGAGCCGCGCGCACGATCGAGCTGGTCGAACTCGACGGCGAGCGAGGGGGGAAGTGCCGAGGAGGAGGCCTTCTCGGCAGGCGGCGGGGCTTCTCAGAAGCCCTCTGGCCTTCTGGGAAGTTTTCGGCATCTTCGGGGAAGGCTCAGGAAAATTCTCAGAAGGCCACGGGTCTTCTGAGCCTTCTGAAAAGGCCCCCCCCATGTGAGTTCCCCCCGGGCTCGCCGCCGACGAACCGAATCCCATCCAAGGGAGGCGAGCCTTACTCGGGGAGCGCGCGAGTGGTGTTCGAATCAATCGATGCCTCGTACGAGGACGCAACGCCGCATCGATCGAGTCGCATACTCTAACCTGGGCAGGTTACAGCGTTCCGCTCGCAGCCGCGCAGTGCACCACCATCGTCAGGTCCAAGGTCCCCTATCAACGGGGGCATAGCTCAGCAGAGGGCGTAGGTTTTCCCGTACGCCCCTGTTTACCATGCCCCTTCTACGGAGCCTAAAATCAAGTCACGTCAGGTCGAGGGGGCCTATGGAGACGACTCGCTATGCAAGCGGAACCGGATGGCGTGGGACACTATAACAGAACGCGCATGCAATTGAATGGTAGTGGCCAGGGCATCGTTAAAGCATACATGATAAAGTGCATCGGGCCGTCTTCATGACATCTAGAAAATGCTTCTCCACCCGCTGCCAAGGGAAAGGCTATCCGACTATCCAGAGCCCGGGACCCCCTGAACAGAGGCAAAGCTAAACATGGAAAGCGGCGCTCCCCGGCCTAGGGTAACTACCTCTGCGCTTGCCGCTCGGCGAAGCGCGATTATCTTCGCGCTTTCGCACCGCTCCCCCCCGAACAGGGTGAGGGACTCGCGCCTCGCTCTGAAATCGCCCAGACCGCGAAGCGCACACTCGTGCAATCGGCACTCCCCGTGGGGAAACCAAAAGGTACCGATACCGCTACTCCCCGGACTTCTTCCTGGGTGCCCTCGGACTGCTGATCAGGATTTCGAGGCCAATCCAGCGGTGGCGACGAGGGCCTCCCAAGAGACCCAATTATCCCGGCAAAGCAACCTAACAGCGATGTGTAGGAGCATATCTGGAAGCATTCCCCTTAAGATTCAGATGAGAATCCAGTTGTAGAATTCTGCTGTTCTCGCAGTCGTAGTCGCATTCGCGATGACAGTCGCAGTGGCAACGGCAGTCACAGTCACAGCCTCAGCCTCAGCCTGCCTCAGCCTCAGCCTCAGCCTGCCTCAGCCTCAGCCTGCCTCAGCCTCAGCCTCAGCCTGCTTCAGCCTCAGCCTCAGTCTGCCTTCAGCCTCGGCCTCAGCCTCAGGCTGCCTCAGCCTCAGCCTGCATCAGCCTCAGCCTCAGCCTCAGCCTGCCTCAGCATCAGCCTGCCTCAGCCTCAGCCTCAGCCTGCCTCAGCCTCAGCCTCAGCCTGCTTCAGCCTCAGCCTCAGTCTGCCTTCAGCCTCGGCCTCAGCCTCAGCCTGCCTCAGCCTCAGCCTGCCTCAGCCTCAGCATCAGCCTGCCTCAGCATTCAAAATGTGGCCCGGGAATGGAGTTCTGGGAACTCGAAGAACACGAAGTGGCCTACAGTTGGCTCCGGGCATTCAAAATCATGCCCAGGAATGGAGTTCTGGGAACTCGAAGACCACGAAGTGGCCTACAGTTGGCTCCGGGCATTCAAAATGTGGCCCGGGAATGGAGTTCTGGGAACTCGAAGAGCACGAAGTGGCCTACAGTTGGCTCCGGGCATCCAAAATGTGGCCCGGGAATGGAGTTCTGGGAACTCGAAGAGCACGAAGTGGCCTACAGTTGGCTCCGGTTATTCAAAATGTGGCCCGGGAATGGAGTTCTGGGAGGTCGAAGAGCACGAAGTGTGTGACTGTTGGCTTAAAACGAGCCCGGCTCTGTTCCCGGTTCTTTTCCCCGGCACCCGCCCAGACCCCCCTGTGGAGTCATTAGATGCTCTCTTTTGAGTCCACTAGAAACCTATTATCCCGGCAAAGCAACCTAACAGCGATGTGTAGGAGCATATCTGGAAGCATTCCCCTTAAGATTCAGATGAGAATCCAGTTGTAGAATTCTGTTGTTCTCGCAGTCGTAGTCGCATTCGCGATGACAGTCGCAGCGGCAACGGCAGTCGCAGTCACAGCCTCAGCCTCAGCCTGCCTCAGCCTCAGCCTCAGCCTGCCTCAGCCTCAGCCTGCCTCAGCCTCAGCCTCGGCCTGCTTCAGCCTCAGCCTCAGTCTGCCTTCAGCCTCGGCCTCAGCCTCAGCCTGCCTCAGCCTCAGCCTGCATCAGCCTCAGCCTCAGCCTCAGCCTGCCTCAGCATCAGCCTGCTTCAGCCTCAGCCTCAGCCTGCCTCAGCCTCAGCCTCAGTCTGCTTCAGCCTCAGCCTCAGTCTGCCTTCAGCCTCGGCCTCAGCCTCAGCCTGCCTCAGCCTCAGCCTGCCTCGGCCGCAGCATCAGCCTGCCTCAGCATTCAAAATGTGGCCCAGGAATGGAGTTCTGGGAACTAGAAGAACACGAAGTGGCCTACAGTTGGCTCCGGGCATTCAAAATCATGCCCAGGAATGGAATACTGGGAACTCGAAGAGCACGAAGTGGCCTACAGTTGGCTCCGGGCATTCAAAATGCGGCCCGGGAATGGAGTTTTGGGAACTCGAAGACCACGAAGTGGCCTACGATTGCCTCCGGGCATCCAGAATCATGCCCAGGAATGGAGTTCTGGGAAGTCGAAGAACACAAAGTGGCCTACAGTTGGCTCCGGGCATCCAAAATGTGGCCCGGGAATGGAGTTCTGGGAACTCGAAGAGCACGAAGTGTGTGACTGTTGGCTCCGGTTATTCAAAATGTGGCCCGGGAATGGAGTTCTGGGAGGTCGAAGAGCACGAAGTGTGTGACTGTTGGCTTAAAACGAGCCCGGCTCTGTTCCCGGTTCTTTTCCCTGGCACCCGCCCAGACCCCCCTGTGGAGTCATCAGATGCTCTCTTTTGAGTCCACTAGAAACCTATCAGCAAAAGCTGTTAGGTCATCAGCAAAAGCTGTTAGGTAAAAAGGGGAAAACGAGGAAAGGTAGCGGTATGGGTACCAATTTCCTCCTCTGACGAAGACAGATCGGAGCTCCCCTCAGCGAAAAGTAAAGGTGGGGATCGGGTGGGCAGGAGGTGGGTTTGGGAGGCAAACACCTCTCGGGACAAGCGCCCCTATGCGAACCATTGATCTCAGGTCGGGCATGTCCTCCTGCAGTTTTTGATCTGCGGGCATGTCCTCCTACAGGCGTTGGTTTACCAACAACAAAGACAAAATTATCCCGGCAAAGCAACCTAACAGCGATGTGTAGGAGCATATCTGGAAGCATTCCCCTTAAGATTCAGATGAGAATACACTTGTAGAATTATGTTGTTCTCGCAGTCGTAGTCGCATTCGCGATGACAGTCGCAGCGGCAACGGCAGTCGCAGTCACAGCCTCAGCCTCAGCCTGCCTCAGCCTCAGCCTCAGCCTGCCTCAGCCTCAGCCTGCCTCAGCCTCAGCTTCCTCAGCCTCAGTCTGCCTTCAGCCTCGGCCTCAGCCTCAGCCTGCCTCAGCCTCAGCCTGCTCAGCCTCAGCCTCAGCCTCAGCCTCTCAGCATCAGCCTGCCTCAGCCTCAGCCTCAGCCTCAGCCTCAGCCTCAGCCTCAGCCTCAGCCTGCTTCAGCCTCAGCCTCAGTCTGCCTTCAGCCTCGGCCTCAGCCTCAGCCTGCCTCAGCCTCAGCCTGCCTCGGCCGCAGCATCAGCCTGCCTCAGCATTCAAAATGTGGCCCAGGAATGGAATTCTGGGAACTAGAAGAACACGAAGTGGCCTACAGTTGGCTCCGGGCATTCAAAATCATGCCCAGGAATGGAATTCTGGGAACTCGAAGAGCACGAAGTGGCCTACAGTTGGCTCCGGGCATTCAAAATGTGGCCCGGGAATAAAGTTTGGGAACTCGAAGAGCACGAAGTGGCCTACAGTTGGCTCCGGGTATCCAAAATCATGCCCAGGAATGGAGTTCTGGGAAGTCGAAGAACACGAAGTGGCCTACAGTTGGCTCCAGGCATCCAAAATGTGGCCCGGGAATGGAGTTCTGGGAACTCGAAGAGCACGAAGTGTGTGACTGTTGGCTCCGGTTATTCAAAATGTGGCCCGGGAATGGAGTTCTGGGAGGTCGAAGAGCACGAAGCGTATGACTGTTGGCTTAAAACGAGCCCGGCTCTGTTCCCGGTTCTTTTCCCCGGCACCCGCCCAGACCCCCCTGTGGAGTCATCAGATGCTCTCTTTTGAGTCCACTAGAAACCTATCAGCAAAAGCTGTTAGGTAAATATGTTGGCTGACTCTGTTCGTACCTTCCTCCTGCAGAGGGCCAGGGCCCCCCTCTGCGGCCCCCTCGTCCCCCGTGCCCCCCTTCTCGGGAGCGGCCAAGAGGGGGGTAGCGGCCAAGAGGGGGGTGCCCAAGAGGAGGGGGTGCAAATCATGACCGGCGGCATGTGCGCGGCCGAGCGGGGGGGCCAGGGACGTAATGAAATAAGAAGAGGCGCCATAAAGTCTGGGGAAATATCACGGCCCCGCCATGATATCCACCCCCCCCCTAGTCATCACCCCCCTCTTTGCCGCCCCCGACCTTCGCTGCAACTCCGCCTCCGGCGCCCTGCCCGGGCTCTCCTCCGCGCCGCCGCCCCCCCCCCTCCGGAACCGCGGCCGCGCTGCGCCCCGCGCGCCCGACTCCTCGAGCAGAAGGCCCCCCGGGGCCCCGGCCGCCCGAGCAGGGCGCGCACGGCCAGGACGGAACGCAGAAACGGGGGCCACGACCAACGAGAGGAGGAGGAGGAGGAGGGGGAGGGGGAGGAGGAGGAGGAGCAGGAGGAGGAGGAGGAGGGTGAGGAGGAGGAGGAGGAGGAGGAGCAGCAGGAGGAGCAGCAGGAGGAGGAGGAGGCCCCCCCCGACATACCCACACAGGAGGGGATATACGATCCAGGGTCTGCCCCCCCTCCCTCGTGCCCAGGACCAAGAAGACGGGGGAGAAGACGGGGAAACGGAGACCAAGACCAAGACCATGACGAAGAAAAGGAGGGAGACCATGACCACAACCAAGACCATGACCATGACCGAGAAGACTGGGGACAGGGACCATGACCAGGGGAGGGGAAGGAAACGGGGACCATGGCCAAGACTGCGCGCGGAAACGTCGTTAGAATAAGAAGAAGAGCCATGAACATAAACTTTTGGTGCTCCGAGCGGATTTCTTGGATCTGCGAAATTCGCGCGGACTTCTGAGTTTTTATCTTTGTCTCATTGTTCGTTCCCCGAGGGAAGCAGATGCAGCTGGAGGGGGAGAAAACGGAGACAATGAGCAAGACCGAACACGGAAACGTCGTGCCGATCTTGGTCAACGTTAGTAATGGTCGGCGTCAACTCGTGGATCACCCTCGCGAAAAGGCAACGGCCGACATAGGCCGTGACCAGGATCGGCAGGGAGAAAATCCCGCGGCGTCTTGGTCATGCTCGGTGCGTTTCTATTCCCACGAGCAGCAGCGGGAGCGCGAGGTGCGGTCACCTTCGCGCCCCAGCGGGCTGGGTCCACGACCAGTTCACGCAACGGCGGTGCCGGCGCTGGTCTCCGACACCGCGTCGTGCACCGCTCGGAGCGGTGTTCGGACTGCGCGTGCACTTCGCGGCTGCACGTAAGAGTGGCCCTTGGCAGGACTGAAGCGCGCAGGGCCGCTGTCATCGCATCAACCTCGGCCATCTGAGGACCCCGCTGTACCCGCACCAAAGGTCACTCCGGCGAAAGGTCACTCTCGCGTATAGCCGACGTTCGATGCCCGCCGATTTTGGGCCAACAGCGGCGCCAGACCCCACCGTGCCCGGGGATGTTTCGGGCGGTTTGCCCGTATAGTGTCTTGGACTCGGGAGCGCTCAGAGCAGAATGTGAGGATGTCTCGAGCGAGGCGCTGGTTTCAGCACCCCCAGGAGGAGCCGCCAGGGGTAGGACATGTGCCCACTCGCGCCCAGATTGTGGGCATGTCTCAGGCACTCAGCCTCAAGCGCACGCGCTGGGGTGGCCGCCGCGCCAGAGCGGCGCGAGTCTGCTGCAGCAATGGGCAATGATAGGGGCGACCAGCTCAGAAGATGAAGCGTCGAGCTGGAATCGGCGATGCATCGCAGATGGATCAACGCTAGGCTCCCGATAGCGAACCCGCACGTTCCTGGGTGGAAAGGGCTATCGGGCCCCCATCAGCGACGACTTGGCGATTGGGGGACGATGCATCCCCCCCTAGGCCTACCCCCGTCCCCGGTGGTTTTCGGGTCACAACTCGGCTCTCCGACGGCCGTTCGGGGCGATCTGGGCACCTCCGGGACTCCTCTCGGCGAGGAGCAGCCGCTGGAGGGAACCCTGAAGCTTAAGACTGCGGGAACCCCACGGAAACGCTCGAAAACCTGAAACCTCCACCCCGCAGAGACTTGCCCCCCCATGGGCCTCTCACCCCATAATCGCTGCCCGTCTGCAGAGCATCGGGCCGCTCGAGCCGCGGGCGACGACCTCCGACGAGCGCGCAGGCGGCTCCGGTTCCGAGGGGCTGGCGCGGGCGGTTTGGTTCCGAGGGGTAGGAGTGTTATTGAAGGGGACCCAGGACACACAAATAAATACAATAGAGGATTCCCCATATTTCCCCATATTTTCTGGATTTTCGGGTTCCCCCCACTTCCCATATTTTCCCATATTTTCCTGGGAATAGACGATAAATTGTGTTTGTGTGTTTTTTTCCCCTCCTGAGTTATGCCCGGGGCGGAGATTTATCCGTCACCGCCGCTCGGGGGATTGATTTTCGGGGCCCTCGGCAGGGGCGAACGTGGATACACTTGGCCCTTACAGGGCCCCAGCATATTGTCTTAACCGACAGACAGGGTGCACGATCAAGATGCAGGGACCTTGGACGCCCGTGCCGAGGCTGTTCGAGCGGGGCGGGCCCTCGAAGATGGTTGAGGATGGACCGAAGATAACGGAAGAGGCAAGGATGCAAGGGCTTGCAGTGTCGATCATCCTTACTCTCAGCGAAGAACGTATCCATACCCAGCACATGCCGAAGTACCCGAAGACCGAACCCACAGGCGGTGGTGATGGATTGACCGTCGCCTCGGAGGCCGGCATCGAAGTCGCTGAGCGGAGCGGTAGGTTCAACCACCCTTTCGGCTAGGTAACCTAACTTCGCGCATCCCGGCCCACGATGCGCGATACGTGGTTTTCTTCGCGCCATCGCACCCCCTCCCCCACTGGAGAAGGACAACCACTCTGGCCAAGACCGCGGCGCGCGATCCACGATTATCTTCGCGCCCCTGCTCGTGGCGGAGGTCCTTGAAGAGTTTCCCATCCTGACCGCACACTGGGCCTGGCCCTGGAAAGGCAAGGCGAAAGCCGTCGACCTGAACTTGTTACCCCTATCAGCTAAAGTCAAAATCCGCGTTCGGCTGGGCCCCAGGATCGTTGCGGGGCCAATGTCCGAAACCTCGACCTGGACAGGGAACGCGGGGAGACCATCATTGAAGCCGGGGGGGGGGGGGGCCAACTCGGAGCAGCGCCTCATACGCCGTAGACAACAAGCGCTGCACCGTGGTGCCTCCGCCCCGCCGCCCACTCTACGGGATTCCATCTCGGCCCGCCAGGGAGTCCTCGCTGTTCATTGTGCTCCGACACCTGTAACTCCCAGTGTAAATATGTGGAAATCTCTTGAAAGTCACGAGCAAGATCAGCTAGAAGACGCGGGTCTTGAGGGAGGGCGTGCTCGGGCCGCCGATACACCTCGCCCCAGCACTCCGCCAGGTTCGCTTCCTTGCAAGCTGAGCAATAGAAGGAGAGAGAGAGAGAGAGAAGGAAAAAGAAAGAGAGAGAGAGAGAGACAGAGATAGAGAGAGAGAGACCATAGAGGTGTCAGGAGCGCCCCTACACCTCCAGCCTTGCGCCTGGCATGTGGAAAAAACAATGTCGTCGTCAAGCGTCGGCCCAGCGTCTACGCCGTCCGCCTCGCTTTCTCGCAGCTGGCGCCCTATGCCACGGCGCCCAGTTGAGCGCTCTCTCACTCCACCGGCTGTCTGCGCAGACGGAGATCTTGTCGGCCAGGGCCTTTTGCGCCTTCCTGAAGAGCGCGGCCCAATCCTCCACTCCGAACATGGCGGCAAGCCCCTTGCTGATGTGAGCGGCCCGCTTGATGCGGGAAACCCACGACGCATCTGCATGGCGTCCAACGCGCGACATTTTGCGCAGCATGCTGCGCTGCGTCGTGCGAAGCTTCTTCTCTTGGCCCACGGTCAGGAGTCCCATATCCAGCGGCATACAACGCGCTTGGAGTGACGCAAGCATGGAACAAACGCATGCGATGCCGGAGAGGTAGACGTTGCTGGCACAGGATTTCCTTCAATCGGGAGAATGCTGCCGATCCAGCAGAAATTCGATGCGTGAGCACTGTCTCGGGGCAAGTTTCCAAACTGAACTTCCTGCCCAAGTATCTCTCTGACTCACCCTGCTGGAGGGCACGAGCGTCGCGCCCCATGCAGCTCGCGGCGAAGGGTCGCGGAACAGATTTTACGAATATAATAGTCTTCCCCATGTGCACTTTCAAACCACCTTTTTTCGCCTCAGTCTCCAGGTCGACGATCATACTGGTCACGCCCCGCTTGTTTGTGCAAGGCAAGACAACGTTTCAGGGTCGAGAAGGTCGCCAACAGCAAAAAAGGACAGCTTGCGTTTCTTACCGGCCAGGACCTCAACAGAGCTTGCACACATGCTCGCCGCGCTGCATATGCGTGCCCACTAGCCGTCGCACAGAAATGTTGTAACATGTGTGATGCTAGGCGATGCGATGCACATTCTGAATGGAACATGTCGTGGACGCCACGCTATTTCTTCAGAAGCGATAGAGCACGGGGGCAAGAACGTGAAGGAGCAGGTCTATGTGCACGCGCATCGCGCATGAGCCCCAGACAAACATACGTTTGGTCTTCCACCCACCGGCCCTCGACGGTAAAGCTGACGAGTATGAGCGCCCTTGGCCGCGAACATCGCAGCGTTGCACTCCATGAAGCATTCGTAAGGACCATCGCTGATTTCGCACTCACTCAAGACACTCCCCACCAAACCAGGATGCTCTGGACGAATGGTGACCCGCGTCGAGGGGGGGGCAGGATCAGCCCCCGGAGCGACATGCCCAAAAACTGGAACATGATCAAATCATCCGCGTCTGTCGTGAGCGAGCCCCATCACAGACGGGCGTGCGCGCCAGCCTAGCACATCCGCCGTCGGAGGTGACCAGTAAACGCGGCCGAGGCGGCAGAGACATGAGACAATCCCACGTCTGGAGGTCCTGTGAGCAGGTTCCTGTGCGCGGATCCCTACGAGCTCGCAACGCGCGCCTGCATCCCTCGAAAAAGTGATGCTATCTTCGAAAGGAACGCCGATGCTGTCGCCCATTGCTTGCCCAGTCCGGTCAGTTCCTGGGAGATTCCAATCGCCGCCGAGGCAAGTGAGACAAACCTTTGGCGCGACCAGGCACACTGAGACTAAGCCGATGGAGAAGGCGGTGAACAGCGCCAGCAGACAGACGGATCCACGCGCGCCTTCCCAACTACGAGTTGCCCCTGGGAGTCCTAAAGCCGAGCAAGAAGGACCCGACCTCTCACAACTTCACAACGCCTATCTGCGGGCAACCTCTGGACGAGGCCTGAAAAATATT